AAGGGCAGTATTGTCTCCTACAGTATCGGAGCCAGATAAAGTAGGTGGTTAGGAGTATGGGTTCTGAATTGGTAGTTTAATTGCCTGGCCCTGGGAAAGGCAATCTTTTCCCAGTAAACACCAGATGCTAGAGCATCAAGAAAACAGAAAATAAGAAAATATAATTAATGCATTCTGTGTGCACAGATGGAGTCTTCTTTTGCTTCCCCAAAGGAATAGTCCACAGGAGCCTGGCACTCCTGGACCTGAGGAAACCCTGAAAATATTGGTATCTGCAGATCCTCTCCAAAAAGAGGTCGCCAATCTCCTAAGACTGCAAGCTGACCCCAGCATTCTGGGAGCCAAGAGGGAGAAAGAGTCTGCAGATCTCCCTGCTCAGTAAATTGGCTTTCACTAAATACTGTCTTTGCATAAGCAGCATTATCCAGTGTCCTGGAGCTTAGAAAAATTCTGTTTCAATATCTGAAGAAAATAAATTGTTTCTTTTCCCGATGTCAGGGAGGAGCATTTGACTGCCAGTGTGGACTGAAGGGTCTTCGGATCACAGTCTTCCCAATGTGTTTGAACCGACCCTCTGTGTCTGCCTCACCATCTCCTCAGCTTACCTAGACACTTGGGAACCGTGACACAAGCCCTTCTAGGAGTCTGTGGTGTGGCTTAGTTGCCTCTGTAGGCATCTCTTGGGGTTAAACATTTTCCACTCTGCTAAGTCAGTGCCATCTGTTCTTTGGCTTCATCTTCAGAAGACCCTGAGCCCTCCCCACCCTCCTTGCCTCACCCTTCACACCAAATGCGTGGCGCCCTTGAGGCCATAGGGTTGCTGCCATAGGATTTTTGTATTGAGTGCTCTCATTCAAAGCAACTGTGAGAGATTTCTATGGCAGGGCCTCCGGGTTCCTGTCAAATTAAATTGTAGTTGAGTGTTGGGTGCTATTTAAGAAGCATCCCCCTTTCTCCTTCCTAACAGAGCCCTGAATTATTCAGTCACGTGGCTTGAAACATGAGGTGGGTCCTGGTTGACTTAACCAGCACTGTCTCACCCTGTGTCACAGTTATTGGTTCCAAAGTGGGTGCATAACTGAGGCTCACGCCAGGTGCCACACAGCACTCCCTTGGTCCCCCTAATGGACTTGGGGATGGGCAAGGGTCTGAGTTGTTCCAATTAGAGTCAAATGCAAGTTGTGCTAGGTTGTTAGGAACAAGAGTGTGCTTGTTCATGCTCCCTCTTTGAAGAATGCAATCTCAGAAATTGTTCCTGGAGATTTTGCCACACGCAGAATTATTCTGACTTCACTGAAGACAGAGTAGAAAATTGGGAAGAGACTGAGTCCTGGTAGCATCCATGAGCTTCTGTGCTCAGATTCACCCTGAAGCCTGGCCTGCTTCTGAACTACCCACCTGAGTCAATAAATTCCCTTGTATTTAAAGTCAAATTGAGCTGGATTTTTAGTTACTTGCACCTGTAGGTGTTCTGTGAAGTTGGTACTGTGAGTTTGCATCTGAGAATATTTACAGTGTTTCTCTCATGGTTGAGTCAATCATTTCAAGGATGATCTGAGGGTAAAAAGAACGATCAATTGTGAAGCAATGAATTGTGCTGCCAGGCACAATTCATTGGACAATAGAAAGCCTCATTTCCTGGGCAGTAGAAAGTTTCATTGTACATAAATTACATGTCTTGTTTCTATCTCAACCTCTTATTTTTTCATATGCAAAGGAGGTAAGGAAATCCAAATAAGTCCAGCAGCTAATATGCCTCTCAGACATGATCCAAAACAGAATTGAATTATGTAAGCCTCGTTAAAATTCATCATCATCATTCATATTTCTGAATATTTAAATTATAAATTCTGAAAATGTAGTTTGTTTCAGAGGTAGTTTTATGTATGTAGGTATTTTTTCAGGATCAAAAGTTTATTTTTTATTATCTAATTGAGTTTAATTTACATGTAATAAAATTTAGTAATTTTAAGTGTACAAATCAATGCATTTTGACAAATACACATATTGCCATGTACACAACACTAGCATTAAAATACATTTCATTACCCCCAAAATTCCCTTGCATGCTGCTGTAGTCAGTGACCCCTGCCCCACACCACAGCTTCTGGCAGTGGCTTTCTTTCACTCTAGTTTTGTCTGTCTTAGAATATGATACAGGCCTCGTGCAATGACTCAAGTCTGTAATCCTAGCACTAGATTGAGAAGCGGGGATCACTTGAGCCCAGGAACTTGAGACGAGCCTGGGCAACATGGCAAAACCCCATCTCTAAAAAAAAAAAAAAAAAACACACACACACACAAATTAGCCAGGTGTGGTGGCACACCCCTTTGGTCCCAACCCCTTTGGTCCCAGATACTCAGGAGGCTGAAGAATCACCTGAGCCTGGGAGGTCAAGGCTGCGGTGATCTGTGATCACATCACTGCACTCCAGCCATGGTGATAGAGTGAGATGTTATCTCAAAAAAGAAGTATTTTATATAAATGGAATTATATAGAATATTCTCTTGTACCTAGTTTCTTTCATGTATTCTAATGCCTTTGAGATATGTTCATGTGGTTTCCAGTGTGTATGATTCCAATTCTCTTATGTTGGGCAGTAACCATTGTAGGATATAATTACAGCTTATCTATTTCTTCAGTGATAGTATTTTAAAAAATATTGGCTATTAAGAAGAAGTTTGTTATGAATACTTATATTCAGGCCTTTGTTCAACAGATTTTCACTTCTCTTGGTTGAAAAGCTTAGGAGGGAATTATTATTTTTTATAGGTTATTGGGACTTTTAGAAATGATTGTCAGTTGCCAGTTATCTTTTAAACACAAAATGTAACATTCTTAAAATTTAAAAGTTTAGATGTTCTGACTACCCAGACAAAAACAAGAAATGGGGCGAAGGATTCCATTTATAACGGTGGTTGGAAAATTGGTAGTATGCAAGCAAAAGGGACTAGACCCTTTTTTTACATTTTTATACAAATACTCAAGATGGGGATCAAGACTTAAACATAAGCACCTAAAACCAATAAAAGACTCTAGAAGAAAATCCAGGCATATCATCGCACGCCTAGGATAGCGGCCACAGAGACTTTCATGACTAAAATGCCACAAAGGCACGGACAAAAACAGCCCAAATTCTACACAATGGGTCAGTACACTAAAAAGCTTCTGCGCAGCAGCAAAAGAAACTCTCATCAGAGTGAACAGACCCAAACCTAACAAACGAATGGGAGAAATTTTGCAATATCCAATTGGAGCAAAGGGCTATATATCCAGAATCTACAAGGCATTAAAACCAATTACAAAGGAGAAGAAAAACCATCACGAAAGTGGTGGAAGGATATTGACCAGCAGAGCAGCTGTCTCAAAGAAGACATTTATGTGGCCAACCAACACTTATGAATCAAAATTCATCTTACTGCGTCACTGTACGAGACAATGAATCAAAACCACAATGAGACATACACTCAATACTGTATAGCAATGCCCGATCAATATAATAGGAACACAGATGCCTGGAGAGGGATGTGGAGACAATAGAGCTTTATAACCTCGTCAGTGGGGGTGTAATAGTTCAAACGACATATGTGGACAGACAGTGTGGCAATTCTCAAGAATCTAGAACCAAAGTCACCATTGATACAGCATCCATTAGCTGGTATACACAAAGGATTATAATCATCTCTAACGCTATAAAGAACCAACACACACGTATGTTTACTGGCGCACTATATATCAAATAGCAACAGACGGGAACCAAACCCAAATGGCCCATACAATGATAGACTTGAATAAAGATGTGGCAGCATAAACATCATCGGAAATAGCTACGCAGTCATAAAAAAGGATGAGTTCATGTCCTTTGCAGGGACATGATGAAGCTGGAAACCATCATTCTTGGCAAACTGACACAGGAACAGAAAAGCAAACACCGCATGTTCTCACTCATAAGTGGGAGTTGAACAATGAGAACACATGGACACAGGGAGGGGAACATCACACACGCGGGCCTGTTGCAGGGTCGGGGCCTAGGGGAAGGATGGCATTAGGAGAAACACCTAACATAGATGACGGGTTGCAGGTGCAGTAAACCACCATGGCACGTGTATACCTGTGTAATAAACCTGCACGTTCTGCTCATGTATCCCAGAGCTTAAAGTATTAAAAAAAAAAGTCACAGGATGTTTGTGATAGTATCTATTACACTGATGTTGACATCACACATGGCTGACTATTTGGAGACTCCAAGTGAAATTTCTTGCAGTTCTCAGTGCCAGGAAAATATGTATTTCTGGATAAAAACTCAAAAATTTTAGAAAAACATCCAAATTTCATAGTCTAGAGTTCTAACACTGGAATCTTCCAAATTTAAGGATTAATGATTTACCTAAATCTAAAAATAGTAGGTTGTAGATGTATTTAAACAGTGTGCCTAGGTAGTATGCTTATATATTAAGATTAAAATGGTCTTCTAAAGTTTATTAATTCTAATATAACCTTTACCGTTTCATGTAGACATATCATTCTGATTCGCAGGATAATTTAAACAATTAATTCTAAGCAACTATTAACTTAGTTCTAGATTGGGATATCTATTTATGCATTTGAAGCTTTAGATATGTATTTCAAATCAGAAATGTGTGCTGGTCATGGAAAGTTGTGGCTTAGAGCCTCAGGTAAGTTTTTTTTCATGTGAACATACTGCTTCCAATTGTTGTTATGCCCAGAGCAGACAATTAATAGATACCCTTGGAACTGAATGAGTGATTAACTGCAAATATCACAATACATCTTCTTAGCGGGCATGATAATTAGACACATTTAGTCCTTGCTGTGACCTAAGAAAGGAATTCTTTTCATTTAATGTTTAATGTCTCACCCTGTTCATACAGCCGGAGTTACTGATTCAGTTTGATGTGAATTCAGTCTTCTGCGCTTATGCTTCCTATAGTATTGGAACTTCCAACTTGTATACAAAATAGATAAGCTTCATATTCTTAAAAACCACAAGAAATCTCCCTTTATTCATAATAAACTCAGAATTAGGTATTCTATTAAACTGAACAATAGAACTCACTGGGAGTGACCGCATACACTATATCACGAATTGTCCAAGTGTCTGAAAAGGTCAGTGGGCCATTTCGCTCCACGCTGTGCCATGAGCCAACCACGAGGGTTGTCAGTGACTCTGCGTGGGTCACCCAGGGCACGTGGTGCTGAGGCTGTCAAAGAGCAAGACGGGGCTGCATCTAAACTCAGGCCTCTGCTAAGTGTCTGAACTCGGTCAAGATGCTAAAGACTTTAGAGACGTTTTCTTTTCTATGATTACGGTTATAACACTCACCCTGTCAGGTTCTCGTGTGCATTGACAAGGCCTGCACATGACACACCAGGGGCAGAGCTGGACGGGAACCTTCTTCCTCAGACATCAGGGTCCTCATGAGCATCAACAAAATAAAGAGAGCAGGAGAGCAGGAGAGCGGGAGAGCAGGGGAGCAGGGGAACAGGGCATCTCCAGCTGTATCGGGACTGCAACAGGGACTCAGCAACAATCAGTCTCTTTCTCTTGTTTCATCCAAATCATATATTTAAAAAACAGGTGGGGTTATCATGGATGTTTATATTGATTCCTGGGATCAGACAAATATACCTTTCCTTGTCATGCTGTTTTCTCTTCCCAGATGGTTTGAAGAGCTTCGTTTTGGACTTGATATTCCTGGAGTGCATTTTTTTTTTCTAATTAGTTCAGTCTTGACCCTGAGCCATCATCCCTCCAGAGTGGCAGGACATTCCACTCCACAATTGTTGGGGTGCCACAATTTCACTACTAATCAAAGGCTCCTTGGTTGCTGAAAAATGAGAGACGTACCTCTAATAATAAGTCTAGATTGTCACTGCTCACTTCCTCATTTTCCAATTCCACTGGGGCCCCCCAAAGCCCGAAAGGTCTCATTTCAGATGTCTTATAGACCATGGGAACCAGGAAACACTGGGAACCCTAGGGCCAGCACCCACCTCATTTGCATCCTGTCTCTGTTTCCATCACCCTCTAGATATTGCCACAGAGCAGTGTTGGGACCCACTGGAGATCTGACTGCTCCCAGTCTGGGAAACTGCCGTCTCTCCCTCCACTGATATCATATTTCTACTTTTCACCCCACAGAAATCCTTGAACGAATCACAAAAGGGATTGGTAGTTACCTGGTGTGAAGCAGAGCTGAGCCAAAGGATGAAGCAATATTGCAATGGACTCTGTCATTGATATCACTAGTTCGCAAATCTGTTAACACTATGGTCAAATTTTTATATTCACTTTAAAATTATATCTCATTCTGCTCACTGTATTCAAGGCAACATCTACCCTAAAATATACTCAGGCATTAATTTATGCTTTTCTGTTTACAAATGAGAATTCATAAGCAAATTGAGGTAGCAATTACATTTTTTTAAACTGAAGGGAAAACAGAAGACATATACACATACATCAGTGAAACAAAACAGAGAGCCCAGAAACAGACTGAAATACAGCCAGCTGATCTCTGACAAAGGAGCAAAGGCAATTCAATGGAGAGAGGAGGGTCTTTTTAACAAATGGTGCTGGAACAAATGGACATCCATGAGCAAAAAAAAAAAAAAAAATGAATCTATAAACAGACCTTACACCTTTTACAAAAGTCAATGCAAAGTAGATATTAGATCAATATATGAAATGCAAAATTTTCAAACTCCTAGAAGATAACATAAGGAAAAACTCTAGATAACCTTGGATTTGGTGATTCTTTTAGATACAACACCAAAAGCATTATCCACGAAGAAAAATATTGGGAAGTTGAACTTTAACATAAAAAAACTTTAGTTTTGTGAAAGATACTGTTAAGAGAATAAAAAGACAAACCAGAGACTGTGAGAAAATATTTGCAAAATATATCTAAGGATTCATATATGCAAAGAACTCTTAAAACTCAATAAGAAAACAAACAACCCAATAAAAAATGAGCAAAAGCTGAACAGATATGCAGATGGAAATTAAGTATATGAAAAGATGCTCTGTATAATGTCTTATTAGGAATTGTCAATTAAGACAACAGTAAGATACCACTACATAGCTATTAGAATGGCAAAAATCCACAAGACCAAAAACACCAAATGCTGGTGAGCATGTGGAGCAACAGAAACTCGCATTCATTGCTGTGGGCATTATGTGACATTTTGGAAAAGGGAAAATTACATAGATAGCAAAATAATCAGTGGTTGACAGGGGTTGGGGAGAGGAAAGGATGGATGGGCAGAGAGCCCTGGCTGTTTAGGGCAGTGAGACCACTGTGTGCGATTTCACAACGGTGGACCCACGACAGTGTGCAGATGCCCACACCCATTGAAGGCAGACCACAAAAAGGTATTAATTACATAAACCATAAACTTTCATAATGAAATAAATGTTTTTTAAAAGAAGATAGTGTTTTTCAGTTACTGTCTACTTTCTGAAACGGAGATGGTGGAGCGCTTCCATGGTTGTGAGGATAAAAATAGATTAGAGAATGTAATAACTAAAATAGGTGTGTAAACATTGTTAAACTGTTTTATTATCATTTAAAAAACATGTCTTAAATATATTTGTTATGCTTTACAATTGAGCAAGTAGTGCAAACACATTAATATAATTCTCTTCTAGCTCCACACAGAAGTCAGGACTGCAGGGCTTCAGTGCAGGACCGCATGGCTCCACCTGCACCTGCCAAATGCAACAGCCTCTTTCAGTGTCATTAAAATATTTCAATAGGAGGATTGAGTTTAGATCCAACTTGTGTTTTCTCCCCTGGAAAACAAAGGTTTTTATGAAACAAAGAAGGTCTTTACCGTCTTCATCCGAAATGCTGAGGCATCTGCAATGTCTGCTGTAAGTGACACCAGGCTCTCCTCTGAAATCTAGCAATGGGAAAATAGACTGTAGATTCTGCTTTCAGAAAGGGGGGAATCAGAACTAAGGCGAAATGCCATGTCCTCATTCATAAACATCTTATTTTACAAATTCCACAGGTTTAGTTATTTTGGGATTAATATGGCCCTATTTTACAGTGCATTTATTAATTTAGCATGAATTGTTCAAATGCATTCTGGATCCTGAGCTGACATCCAGCAATGCTGAGTGTGTGCCTGTGTGAGTCACCAGCACTGATGAGCCTCAGGTTATTGTATTTATAAAATGAAGGGGCTTAGGCTTGCTCTGATTTTTGAAAAACCATTTTTAACAGTAAAAACTGTTTTTCTTGCTACATAAAAATGTACAAAAACTCAAACATTACCAATGATAAATTATAATTTTATTAATATAAATATTTTTGTGAGCTCAATTTATATGACTTAGTTATTACAAAAGAAATAAGCAAGGCCAGGCGCGGTGGCTCAAGCCTGTAATCCCAGCACTTTGGGAGGCCGAGACGGGCAGATCACGAGGTCAGGAGATCGAGACCATTCCTGGGACTAACTACAGGGGTGAAACCCCGTCTCTACTAAAAAAATACAAAAAAACAGCCGGAACGAGGTGGCGGGCGCCTGTAGTCCCAGCTACTCGGGGAGCTGAGGTAGGAGAATGGGTGAACCCGGGAGGTGGAGCTTGCTGAGCAGAGATGGGGCCACTGCACTCAGCCTGGGCGACAGAGCGAGACTCTCTTCAAAAAAAAAAAAAAAGAAAAAGCAATATGAGGTGGCCATTACCATCCTTTCCATTTTATTTTGTTGCTATTGATTTATTTTATATGCTATTGATAAATCTTGATGTATACAGAAAAGTATTTCAAAGAATAACATTTTTAAAATCTTGATTGTAATTTCAAGAAGCTTTCAAAAAATTCTTGCAACTTTTTAAAGATTCTAGAACAGTTTTCTATGTTTAAAGCTAAATAACTACAAGAGGCTAACTCTTCTCACATTCTGTATTATAAAACATGTAAGTCACAAAAGGAACAGACAAAATCATAAAAACACATGCATGAACAAATGGCCTTGGCTCACATTTACTTGGATCTGGCAATGCACCTGGGTTACAGTACTATTTTTTGTGTGTAATTTTACATGAGTGGACTGTTGTCAAAATAAAAATTGTCTACAATCTCTATTCAGTGGTGTATTTGCACAAATGGTAAACATTACATAGAGTAATGGGGAGAAATTTATTTCATGGGCTTACAAGAAGACAGGGTGAGACATTATAACTATTCATTAACGACCTTTTTATGATGCACTTGTATGGGCATGGTATTTAAATGTATTTTTAAACTTTTAAATGCTCAATGTTACAGATGGAATTATTAGAGAGAGTACTAACTTATATCCTCTTTGTGTGTGCTTTGGAGGCACCAGGAATAATAAAGCAGCCCTTTTCCCATCTATTTCCTGAAGGCCAAGCTGTGCTTTTGCAGATTAGGGTCTTTCTGTAACACACACACCACACACACACCACACCGACCACACCACACACACACCAGACAAATAGCCTTTTAGGGGTTTAAGGAGGAAAAGAGAATTTGCCTGGATAACTCTCACCTAGGTATTTTTCCAGGGAGATCTAGGACATCATCTAAGGTAAGCTGTGACTAGCCAATGGGAAACGAGCATGAGTATGCGGGGAGATGTTCCCAGAACAGTAGCATTCCTAATGGGCTAGGCCCTAGTCACATGCAGTTCCCCAGATGTTGTTGGTGTGGCCAAGGTTCCGGCATGTGATGGCTGCCTTCCTGGCACTTCTTGTGCTGTGAGGAGCATCCCCTCCCCAGTGCCAGGGCAGTGGTCCTCTCACCCCCTTCAGAGTAAAGGGCCAGCAGTCAGCAGTCACAGGAAAAGTAGTGAGACAGGAAGGTGAGGAGCATGAAGGGCCACCATCCCAGCCTCCAGTGTCTGGCACAGAATATGACGAGGAACTTCCGTGAATTGGAATCTTCCACATCTCGATACACGGGAGTTTCTGCTAGATATAATTTGGCTTATAAAAAGAAAGAAATATTGCCTTCTTGCATGTAAATAGTGTAGAAGAGTTAATGATTGTAACCTGGATGTTTTACATTCTGAGATGCTATTAAATCAATATCCATCACAAAACTATTGATAATTTTTTAGAAGAACAAAAGAGATCTCATCATATGAAATGCAGTGGATCAATTGAAGATGCAGGCTAACTCCAGAATAAGTAAAGCATGGAAAAAAATCTGTCTTAGAATGGAAAAATACAGTGGTGAAACTATTTTTAACTAGAATTTAAATGCAACATTTGAGGATATGAAGCCTACAACTCATTTGGAAAACTACTGGCTCAGATGACCTCAGCGATAGGCAACCTCTGAAAGATCATTAATCTAATCATAATTTTCTGTGCCTTTGCCTGAGAGTCTATCTGAAAGTGGTGCAGTTTTTACAGAAGAGGAATAACGTGTCCCAAACTGGGAACCCTTCACAGGTCGCCATTCGGGTGGTGCTTCACTGTGGAGTTTTGGTCAGCAGAGGGCTCCAGGGACTGCTGGGGAAGGCCAGGACATGGAAAAGGGCCTAAAGCCAGGGTTACCTGGAAGAGAGTGGACCCATTTTGCCAAGCACCTAAGGACCATGTCATACAGGACCCTCTCAAAATCACTCGTACACTATGTGGGAATAAAGGATAAGAGAAATTAATGTGTACTTAGCATGTGAGAGCCAAAATTCAGTCAGCCTCAGCAAAGAAATTCATACAGAAGGACGAAGTGCATGTTGTGAGACAAAGAACACCCAATTATAAGATAGAAAACCTCAGTTCTGGAAAATTCCTGAACCTGTTTGCCCATCCATGAAAGAGGAATAGCGATACTACCTTCTCCACCTTTTTTCTAACAGAACTGCACATTTCCTTCAGGCCCACAGCTAAGTGTTTAATAGGAATATTGTGGAAATATAAGGTCATTGCTCTTGCACAAAAGGTTCCAGAAAACTGAGAAAGATCTAAAAATGCTGAAAGGAAAGATTTTTCAAAGTACAACATCTTAATTTACATAGAGAGAAATAATTTTGTCTCAAAGATTTGGCCACATCGTAAATGCAGCACTGAAGAGTAGTTAAGCTATTTCTTCAAAGAAAATATATCAAAATTAAATCTGTACTTTTTGAGTGTGAATTATAATACACAAATCTGGTGCAATATATTTAAAACAAAGCAGAGATTAATTAATTAATTAATGGTTCCCCCATCACCCTTTTCAGAAAACTCAGTAACCTAGTGCCTTAAGATGTTCAAATTGTCCCCAAAAGTTGAGATACTAGATATTTTAAAAACCCTTTCTCAAGCTTTGTTATTCTAGCTTCAGTTGGAAGAAGAAGCTTCCAACTTAAAGATGGTAGACCAAATACTGACCCAGTTGTTCCCTTTCCCTCCCAAGAAACCATGATGGTTATCCATCACGTAGAGAGAGCAGCAGAGACAAAAAAGTGATTTGATGGCCTCACAGCCTTGAGAAGGAGCGTCATCTGTGGACCTTCCTGGGGGTGAGGGGCGGAGAAGTGAGGCAGGCATCAGAAAACAGGAGGGTTGATTAAAATCTGTACATTAACAGTCAACCCTTATAATCCTCCCTCACCGATGCCTGCACCCCACCCCTCAGGTAACCAGTGAGTAGAACACCAACAACCAACAGCAAGCACCTGCCTTCCAGAGAGGAGAGGAGAAGTTTTTCTCCAGAGAAAGGAAACCATCTAGACCAAAGACATCACTTACTAACATGTGGAAACCCTATCAACTCCCGGAGAAAAAAAAAACCTCTAGACGAGCCTTTTACTAATGATAACAGACTCCTTTCTTCTTCTTCCTGTGTCATTATTAAATGTGAACAATGAAGAATCACCAGACATTTAAGGGAAACCAATCCCAATGGGAAAAATGACCAAACCAGCAGGTGGAGTGATTGTTGAGAAACTAACGTTGTAGTAAAATAAGAAATAAGAGTATTATATCGTCATTCACTTAGCGGCACTGTCTGGGGTTTCACTATACAAATATATCACTTTGATATAGTTTTTTCTTTTTGTTTTTGTTTTTGTTTTTTGTCAGAGTCTCATTCTGTTGCCCAGACTGGAGTACACTGATGCAATCTCAGCTCACTGCAACTTTCCTCTCCCGGGTTCAAGTGGTTCTCCTGCCAATTTTTATATTTTAAGTAGAGACAGGATTTCACCATGTTGGCCAGGCTGGTCTCAAACTCCTGACCTCAGGTGATCTGCCCACCTTGGCCTCCCAAAGTGCTGGCACTATAGGCATGAGCCACCGTGTCTGGCCTGATAGAGTTTTAACTATTAGAAGAAACCATAGGAAGCTACCATTCAAATAGATCAAACATCTGCAACATATTAAAATATCAGCAATTTCACACGTTCAAGATTTTTTTTTTGAAAAAAGAGAGAACAGAATTGATTCAATTTCTAGGCCAGCAACCAAGGAAAAAGCAAAGAATGAAAGATTTTATCATCGCATAATAATAGCAAGATCTTACATTTCTATTGAGCTTTAAAGATTACAGTCCAGGCGCAGTGGCTCACATCTGTAATTCCAGCACTTTGGGAGGCCGAGTCAGGTGAATCACAAGGTCAGGAGTTCAAGACCAGCCTGGTCAATATGGTGAAACCCCATCTCTACTAAAAATACAAAAATTAGCCAAGTGTGGTGGCAGGCACCTGTAGTCCCAGCTACTCGGGAGGTTGAGATGAGAAAATCGCTTGAACCCAGGAGGCGGAGGTTGCAGTGAGCCAAGGTCACTCAGGCCACTGAACCCCAGCCTGGGTGACAGAGCGAGACTCAGTCTCAAGCAAACAAACAACAACAACAAAGATTACAAAACACATCAATATACATTGTCTTGTTTGATCTTTAAACAATCCTATAATTGTAATTAATATATCAAAAAAATTGTAACTCTTGAGAAATCCAGGATGACATAAATGAAGCCTAAACACAGCTTTAATTTGCCAAGTAATGGGTGGAGAAGGGATCGGAAGTCAGGCTGACTGACCCCACGTCCTCTCCTTCCATTACTTAAAAGAAGTCAGCCAGGATGAAAGCTTGGGAAGGACCTGAGAAAAAGGCAGTGGGAAAAGAGCAGTGTCAAGGATGAACTACAAACAGAAGTAAAAGAAGGAACACCTTAAATACAAAAATATATGTCCACAAATCTGGGAGTTGTATGAAGCCGTGTAATTAGAGAACATCATGTTGACAGCAGACTCTTGACCTAGGGGAAAACGTTCATGACACTGACTCCAAGAAGGATAAACTTGAAGGATTCCAGATGTGAGGCAGTCAAACCCTCACTTGGAAGCACTGTACAAATGTTCATGTTAAGAACTGAAATGAATTTATACCCACATAAAGCTACAGGTAGGGATAGGCTTACTTTGTAAGATGTTTCTGGACCCTACATTAGCAGCTGTAC